TCCCCATCCCTGGAGGGATTTCAAAGCCCTGTGGATGTGGCACTTGGGGGCGTGGTCAGTGGTGGCCTTGGCAGTGCTGGGGAAGCAGTTGGATTTAATGACCTCAAAGGGCTTTTCCAGCCTTGACAATTCCATGATTCCATGATTATCAGAGAAAAGGAAGAACTGCCTGGTGCTTCACTCACTTGATCTGCTCCTCACTCTTCTTGTCTTCCTTCTTCTCCCCAGGAACGGGTGAGGAAGAGGAAGTTCCAGTCTCCAAAGCCTCTTTCTGCAGCTTTTCCACTTCCTGCACCAAACCAGCATCCAAATCAGCCACACCTGCCTGAAAACAGAAAGGAAGAAACCATCTGTCTGCACCATGGAAGTTGAGCAGCCCTTCCCCAGCAGCTCTCCCATCCCATTGTCCAACCTGACCTGGAAATTCAAACCTCTGTGTTGGAGTCCACAGCAGGATTTATGGACTAGGGATGATACATATCCTTGGCTCCAGAAATTATAAGGATTAAAAGAGGGATCTCAGCAGAGCCAGGTGATCTGACCTCACCTTTTACAAGTGAGATGTAGACAGGGCACCTCCTAGTTTATATTTTATAGGATCAGGGGGAATGTTTAGACTGGGAAGGAATTCCTGGCTGGGAGGGTGGGGAGGCCCTGGCACAGGTTTCCCAGGGAAACTGTGGCTGCCCCTGGATCCCTGGAAGCATTCCAGGCCACGTTGGATGGGGCTTGGAACAACTTGGCATAGTTGAAGGTGTCCCTGCCCATGGCAGGGGGTGGGACTGGGTGATCCTTAAGATCCCTTGGAATCCAAATCATTCCATGATTCTCCGATTGTAAGGCCCCATTTCCATGACTCTGGGGGGGTTTGTGGCTGGATATGAGGTGTCTCTGCACTTTTCCTGTTAACCAAAGGGGAAGGAATGCTGTAATTTTCAGAGACTTCCCAATTAAAAGTCCAGCTGACCAGGACAGAGCTCAAAGCACACGGAGGTGACAACCACCACCAACATAACTGGGTGCTCAGGGTGTTCCCAAAACCATTCCTGTCCTGTATTTCTACATCCAAGCACTGAAGATCCCCCAATCCCTGCTGTTTGCTCTGTAGTTGTGCTCAGGGAACACAGTCCTGTCACTCCAGTGGAAACCACCACCTGGGAAGGGGGATCTACTCCCCTCCAGGGTTACCTGGGCTGCTGGGACTCCTTCCCTGAGGAGGGGGCTGAGAGCTCTTGCTCACTATCTTTTCTATCCTGCTCACTTGCTCCCTCTTCCTCATCCACATCCTTGGTGGGACTTTCTTCCTGAGTTTCTGGTGGTGCAGAACCATCCAGATCCCTTTCAAGGGAAGGGGTCACAAGTTTTTCCTTCCTGCCAGGGTGGAAAAGATGAACCAGGTTAATTAATTTCTTCATCAGAGGGAACTGGAGCCAGAGCTGCTGTATCCCTGACAAGGGCTTTGGGGAAATGTCGGGAAGGAGCCAAGCAGGGATTTACTTCTGTAAATTGAAGGATCTTTCTCCGCTCAGGACTCGCTGGCTCCCCCTTCCCTCCCAAAATCTCTTCTCCTTCCCTACTCCTCTGCCAGCTCCCTCCCTGCCTCATCCATGGGCTGCCCATCCCTGCCTGACCAGAGTCAGTCACTGCCAAGGGCCAGGTCCTGCCCTTGGGTCTCAACAACCCTGGAATAGTCCAGGAGCAGGGAAGAGCAGCTGGAAAGCTGGAGAAGGACTTGGAGGTGCTGGTGACAGAGGCTGGACATGAGCCCAGGTGTGCCCAGGGGAGCAAGAGGCCAATGGCCCCTGGTTTGTGTCAGCTCTGGTGTGGCACCACCTCCAATCCTGGGGCAGTTCTGGGCCCTCAGGACAAGACACAGAGAGGCTGGAGCGTGTGCAGGGAAGGGAAGGGAGCTGGGAAGGGGCTGGAGCAGCAGGAGCAGCTGAGGGAGCTGGGGGGGCTCAGCCTGGAG